CCTACATTTTCATGTATATGTTGTTTATTCAGTAAAAATGATGTGTGCGTATGAAAAGTTTACTTAGCAAACTTTTGAAAGGTTACTCGTTAGAGGGAGTCATGTGACCTGTGATATCACCATGATGGACATCCCTACTGATGGAAACACATTATGAAATGAGAAAATACCAATCTACTGCAGTTTGATTTTAAAATGGAACAGAAGAAATGAAAAGCTGGATAATGTGACGACAGTCGGGTGGATTCTGAGCTATTTAAAGTTTAAATTACATTTTCAGGTTAATCTAGTTGGCTTTCAAAGAACACAAACTTTTGACAGGATTTGAAATTTGTTCATTAATTTCAGTGCGTAAAGGTAAAAAATAAATGCTACAAAAAATGAAAAGTGATAGCAGTAACATCTGGAATAAGTTAAATATTCTGATTTGTTTTAATGGTTTCGATGGCACGATGTCTGCAGAGGTAGAGTCAAAATGAAGTGAAACCCCAATAAAGAAAGAAGTAAAGGCGAAGAGAATCAGTAAAGTGTGAATCCTGACTTCTTTCACGCAGTCAGCCAGACATGTTTAGTAGTTAGTGGCATCCCAGTGAAGCTGGGGTTACCTGGGCCTGCAGGTCTGAGTCGTCCATCATACGTAGAGGGTACTGGGCCGATTTCATCATGTCCACCGAAACAGAGTTCTGGTTGTCCAGATAAAACACCCCCTTTGAGGTCACCAGGGGGTCAAACTGGGTCTTCCACTCCCCTGACAAACAGAAGAAATCTCATCTCACAAACTGCAGACAAAAACTTGAAGTATATTTTTATTAGAATAGATTAGCTTACTGAAATGTGCGGATATGTATATTTCTTATTGTATTTTTATATTGTATGATATCGTGTTAAAACACAATCTGATTTCCAATTCAGTTTTTGGTACAGAATGTAATTTTTCATTCCACGACTACAAATCCCAACAGACCCCACCATTTTTAGAGCACAAGATGGCAATATCTTATTGGCTGAGAGCTGTCACATGATTTAGTGTGATAACTTTCCATGAGCTTTGATGAGGACATCTGCAGAGGTGTGGCCAAGCTCTGAAGAAAATGTGTATACCGACTGACGCTAGACACCATTACTTGTGACCGCATGGAGAGGCGGTGATGGTCCAGGGCTGGTGAGTTTGTACTTTACATGTGTAACTTAAAGTAAACTTTTCAAGATGCAACTGTCACCTCCACGAGTCTGATTCAGACCATTAGAACACAGGAATAGAGAGGAATACTTTCAAGCTCAACAACATAGGTTGTGCAGCCATCCTGATAAACAAGGTTGTACTGCAGAGCCTCGTGTCAACATGGATACATGACAATTGTATCCGATCGACTCTGTGCCGCAGAATGTTAGCACTGACGGGAGCTCTGCTTCGACTCAATCTTTTTTGTTCCTGTTTCTTTTGTTTGAACTTTTTTTGCCCCTACACTGCACATCTACAGTACGGGTATGACTGTGACACACTTGTGGAGTTTTCTGTGTCGCTGCTTTGCCATTGTGGATCTTGTCAATGTAGTTCAGTCCTTCCAGCCTCGGGCTCAGACCTGTCATGGCGGCCGTCTCCATGATCCTCCATCTGCCTGCACGGACCTAACTACGGACCCGTTCAGTTCCACGGGGAAACCTTGGATGTTCTCTGTCTGCCGGACCCAGTTCTGGAAGACAGTCTGAGAGGGAAGCTGCTGTGGTCCTTATCATCAAGCTGCTGATGGGACCTTCTAACAAGACTTGCTAACACTGCTAACAAGACCACGCTGCTAACAGTAGCATGGTGTCAAATGGGGCCACATTGCTAAGTTAACCACATTGTCATCAGAACCACTCTGCCAGTAGGACCGTGCTGCTGGAGATTTATTTCTTTTTCACTTTTGGCACCTTGTTTTTGTAGTTTTGTTGCATGCTTTGTATTTGTTGTTGCTGTTTTTTTGTTTGTTTGTTTTTTTGGTGAGTCGAGACAGTTCTTCTCGTCCTGAGCATTTCATTGTATTGTTGACCTTGTGTTGATTTTTGCATATGACAAAAAAAAAAAACCTGATGCTGAACCCTACTTTCCATTACTCCTAATGTTTTACTGGAATATTTACCGATGTGAACCTCCTGATGTGTGCCGCTAACAGAGAAGTGTTTGGTAAAATTATTCACCTTTGAAGTAAACAGCATTCATGAGCATGAGCACTATGCCATGTGGAATACTTTCCAGGAAGTTGGGAATGTGACCATTGGTAATGTTCTCCACCCACTGGTTGACCTCTTCCACAGAGACCAGAGGGAAAGGCCGTGATTGGTATCTGAGAAAGAAAAACCACCACATTAAAGATAAATGTGATTGATGTCAGGACAGAATAGCTCTGTTTGTTGGTGTAGGTGTAGGAAAAATATCTATCTATTTTAACCTCTTTAAACTATTTGTACTCTTTAGTTTGTACAACTTTATGTCATTTTAATGATTGTAACCAACTCATTCATGCCATTCAGTGCCAGTTCAAGCCATCACCACTGTCTTCGAGGCCAACATTTCCATCAACATCTACCAAGAAACAGCTCAGTTCACAAAGCTGCTGAGACATCAGCTCAGACTTTATCATTTCCAAACTCTCCGGGGTCCACCACTCTGCAGATAAACCTGTGGAAAACCTTTAGGACACTCCGAAGGTCAGACTGTGGAATGCTCAGAGGAATGAGCTCTATGTCAGACTCTAGCACATATGTGTCATACTCAAGGCCAAATGTGTCCCTAGTTGATAGATTATCTGGCCCCCAAGATGATGTGTGAAACGTAAAATACTTCTATCTCTTTCATTTTTTTCCAGTAATCTTTGATTGTGATACCAAAAGCACGGCAGAGAACATCAAATGAGACCAATCAATCTCTTGTTGAGGAACCTGTGACCAAGAAATATGTTGGGTATCTGATTTGTTTATTTAGATTCTGAAATTGGCCCTTAGTTTGAAAAAGGTTTTAATTTTGACCCCCTTTTGTAAGTGAGTTTGACACCCCTGATCTAGCAGGTTCAAGGTCATAGGTCATGGTCTCTTCTCACTAAAAATTATATAGCAACTCGATTTAGGTTTGGAAGGTTTCGTCTGAAGGAACCAGAAGACTTCTGGACCAGCATCTTTTGGAGACATGAGACCATCATATGACTCTTGGGCCTTAATGCCAAACACTAGCTGTCAGCACGGAGGTGGAGGGCTGATGGTTCAGGCTACTATCAGTCACTGAATGGACCAGGAACTCCTCTGGAGACCAAAGGTTTTTGGAGTCCAACAGCTTAAGCTTGGAGCAAACTGGATCCAACAGGACCATGATCCCAAACACAGCAGCTGTGGTGGACCTTCAGAGGAGGGTCCAGCTCTACACAAACATTTCTGCAAGCTGTAGAATCACAAAACGAGGCTTGAACAGCCTTCCTTGGGTTAGGGTGTGGGTTAAGGCTTTACTTGACTCACAACCAAGAAAACTCATGTTTGTTCAAGATATTTCTCTTCACTGCCAAATTACAAATAAGTTTTTATCTTCCAGAACAAGAGGACTCTGAAATGAATAATCCCATTTTTTCCCAAAGTTTCCTAAATAAAGCTCATACCTGGCCAAAGACTCCTCAATGAAAGACGTCTTCACTTCAAACCCTTGTGAATAAAAAGAAAAATGCAGAATATGGAGATGAAATTTACATCAAATGTATGAAAATGTGACGACCAATCACCAACAAAGCGGTGCTCATTGTCTCAAACCTGGTCTCAGGTACATTCTCGCTGCTACCTCCAACGATGTGTGGCTGAAATGAGGTAGAAGGCTTCCCAGGACATGATGGTAACATGGCAGGTGTTGGGCATGAAGGCTCTGCAGAAGAAGCTTCTCTGTCTCGTTGTGAGCACCTGAGAGAATCACGTTGTTTAGCCAACAGATACAGTGAGGAAAATGAGTGTACGTATTTGAACACCCTGCAACTTTGCAAGTTCTCCCACTTAGAAATCACGGAGGGGTCTGAAATTTTCATCTTAGGTACATGTCCACTGTGAGAGACATAATCTAAAAAAAAATTTTAAATACAGAAATAACAATGTATGATTTTTTAAACAATTTATTTGTGTGTTACTGCTGCAAATAAGTATTTGAACACCTGCCAATCAGCAACAGTTCTGGCCCTCAAAGACCTGTTAGTCCACCTCTAAAAAGTCCACCTCCATTCCACTTCTTATTCTAAATGAGAAGCACCTGTTTGAGGTGGTTAGCTACATAAAGACACCTGTCCACCCCACACAATCAGTAAGACTCCAACTACTGACATGGCTAAGACCAAAGAGCTGTCCAAATGGTAAATGGACTGTACTTATATAGCGCCTTTCTATCTTATTTCAAGATACTCAAAGCGCTTTACACAACAATCTGTGTCCTCATTTACCCATTCATACAGCTCTATACTAGATCCCTACAAAGCCAATTGAACAAATCATTCTAAAGAGACTAATCAGAGCTTTATCACATTCAATCACTGATGGGACACACAACGGAGGCTATGAGGGGTTCAGTGTCTTGCCCAGGGACACTTCGGCATGTGACTGCTGGTGGATTCGAAACCCCAACTCTCACATTGGAGGACGACTGCTCTAACCACTCAGCCACAGCCGCCCCAAAGACACCAGAGACAAAGTTGTAGACCTCCACAAGGCTGGAAAGGGCTACGGGGCAATTGCCAAGCAGCTTGGAGAAAAAAGATCAACTGTTGGAGCAATTATTAGAAAATGAAAGAAGCTAAACATGACTGTCAGTCTCCCTCGGACTGGGGCTCCATGCAAGATCTCACCTCGAGGCGTATCAGTGATCCTAAGAAAGGTGAGGAACCAGCCCAGAACTACACGGGAGGAGCTGGTCCATGACCTGAAGAGAGCTGGCACCACTGTTTCCATGGTTACTTTGGGTAATACACTAAGATGTCATAGTTTAAATCATGCATGGCACGGAAGGTTCCCCTGGTTAAATCAGCACACGTCCAGGCCTGTCTGAAGTTTGACCATGACCATCTGGATGATCCAGAGGAGTCATGGGAGAAAGTTCTGTGGTCACATGAGACCAAAATAGAACTTTTTGGTGTTTTTGGGATGGTATTCATCATTCTTCGTCCTCCCAACACGGCGAGTGGAATTAAGACCATCCCTACTGTGAAGCATGGGGGTGGAAGCATCATGCTCTGGAGGTGTTTTTCTGCACATGGGACAGGGCGACTGCACTGTATTAAGGAGAGGATGACCGGGGCCATGTAGTGAGAGATTCTGGGGAACAACCTCCTTCCTTCAGTTAGAACATTGAAGATGAGTCGTGGCTGGGTCTTCCAACATGACAATGACCCGAAGCACACAGCCAGGAGAACCAAGGAGTGGCTCCGTAAGAAGCATATCAAGGTTCTGGAGTGGTCTAGCCAGTCTCCAGACCTAAACCCTATAGAAAATATTTGGAGGGAGCTCAAACTCCGTGTTTCTCAGTGACAGACCAGAAACCTGTTGATCTAGAGAAGATCTGTGGAGGAATGGACCAGAATCCTGCTGCAGTGAACCTGGTGAAGAACTACAGGGAACATCTGACCTCTGTAACTGCAAACAAAGACCACTGCACCAAATATTAACACTGATGTTCACAGATGTTCAAATACTTGTTTGCAGCAGTAACACACAAATAAATTATTAAAAAATCATACATTGTGATTTCCTGAGTTTTTTTTATTTTTTAGATCATGTCTCTCACAGTGGACATGCACCTAAGATGAACATTTCAGATCCCTCCGTGATTTCGAAGTGGGAGAACTTGCAAAGTTGCAGGGTGTTCAAATACTGGTTTTCCTCACTGTACATTGACTCGTCAGGTTTAGCAGCGACTTGCATCAGGGCATGTTGCAAGAATCACATGAAAACACAGCGGTCTGTTTTTGGTCCAAATATTTGTTTCTGGAGACATTTATGGTTAGAAAATCCACAGACTAGGCAATTATGATCTGACCTCAAACCAGTCTGTGTGGAAATCAATGTAGCTAGCTGCCAAAATGCACCTTTTTCCAGGCAGCAGATTAGTTGCAACATCAAGAAATCATCATGGTATGTGTGGATACATCACAGAGAAAGACTCCAACGTCAGAAAAAGAGTAAGTACGCTCAATCATCCAGATCAGTAAATCACAAAAAAGTTGAATCATGTCATCTGGACAGTTTCTTTTTTGAAGAAACATTTCAAAAGACTTCATCAGTCTGAGGCCTTCCAACACAATCTGTCATATAAATAGCACCTTATTGACATGTTTCAGTAGAATAGAATAGAATAGAATAGAATAGAATAGAATAGAATTCAACTTTATTGTCATTGCACATGTCACAAGTACAAAGCAACAAACTGCAGTTTGCATGTATCCAGAAGTGCTTAGCAAAAAAAAAAAAAAAAAAAGAAATTGGTAGATATATATTACAATATACAGTAAGTTTCTTTGAATATACTAAAAGTATAAATATATACATGTTGCGAGTGTACAGACTATGAACAGGTTATAAATATAAAGGGGTATAAACAAACTATATAAAAGAAAATATATATATAAGTATGTGAGTACTTCAGCCCAGTGATGCTCCGGTGATGTGTTGGGCGGCTTTCATCACCCTCTGCAGCGCCTTCCGGTCTGAGGCAGAGCAGCTCCCATACCAGACTGTGATGCAGTTGGTCAGGATGCTCTCAATGGTGCAGCGGTAAAAGTTCACCAGGATGTCTGAGGACAGGTGGTTCTTCCTCAGAGTCCTCAGAAAGAAAAGGCGCTGGTGAGCTTTCTTGACCAGCTTGGAACAGCCGGTCGTCCAGGTGAGATCCTCGGATATGTGGACACCCAGGAACTTGAAGCTGTTCACACGCTCCACCACCATCCCCTTGATGTAGATGGGTGGATGTGGGCCAGAGGTCCTTCTGAAGTCCACGATGAGCTCCTTAGTCTTCTCAGTGTTGAGCAGCAGGTTGTTGGTGTCACACCTATAAGCGGTCTCATAGTTGTTGTTTTTTTATGAGGCCGATTACCGTGGTGTCATCTGCAAACTTAATGATGGTATTGGAACTAACAGGTTTGCAGTCATGGGTGAAGAGGGAGTAGAGGAAGGGACTCATCACACAGCCTTGTGGTACACCGGTGTTAATAGTGATGGTAGATGAGCATTGGTTATCCAGCTGGACATGTTGGGGTCGGTAGGTCAGAAAGTCCAGTAACCAGTTGCACATGAGGGAACTGATGCCCAAGTCTGTGAGTTTTGTGATGAGTTTTGAGGGGATGACTGTGTTGAATGCTGAACTAAAATCTATGAACAGCATCCGGGCAAAGGTGTTTTTGTTATCCAAGTGTGAGAGAACAGAGTGCAGCGCTATGGAGACTGCATCCTCTGTGCTCCTGTTCTGGTGGTATGCAAATTGTTGGGGGTCCAGGGTGGGGGGGACAGGATTTGAGGTGTACTAGGACCAGCTGCTCAAAACACTTTGTGATGATGGAGGTGAGGGCTACCGGACAGTAGTCGTTGAGTCAGAGTCAGAGATTCTTTATTGTCATTGTCACCTCATGTGGTACATGTGGTGGAGCGAAATTATGTCCACAGGGTCCCAGTTACATCCAACAATAAAATGTATAAGAAAAACAGTAATAACATCTAAGATATGAACTAAGAAAAACATCAACTAAAAATACACTAAGCACTCATAACATAAAACATTGAACATCAGCACAAACATGAACATGAGTCTGTGAGCAGATGTGCACGCATGAACACATCCAACATTGAAACAGATCAGCAGCAACATGAAACAGATCAGCAGCAACATGAAACAGATCAGCAGCAACATGAAACAGATCAGCAGCCACATTGAAACAGATCAGCAGCAACATGAAACAGATCAGCAGCAACATGAAATAGATCAGCAGCAACACTGAAACAGATCAGCAGCAACATGATGTGATTTTTCACAGTGATTATTCTGGTTAGAGATTCATGAGTCTAACAGCCTCAGGGTAGAAGCTGTTCCTCAGTCTAGTGGTTCTACACTTAATGCTCCTCAACCTCCTTCCTGAGGGGAGCGGGTCAAAAAGTGTGTGTGCTGGGTGAGTGGGGTCCTTCATGATGCAGGTGGCCCTCTTCCTGCATCTGGAGGTGTAGATGTCTGTGATGGTGGGGAGACTGACTCCAACATCTTCTGTGCAGCCTTCACCACTCTCTGCAGAGCTTTTCTTTCTGCAGCTGTGCAGCCTCCATGCCACACGTTGATGCTGGAGCACAGGATGCTCTTCACTGCACACCTGTAGAAGGAAGTGAGGACTGAGCTTCCAGACTTGCTGCTGACAACCAAAACCAGCTGATCACATGCTCAAGAAGGACCATCAGCCTAACAATGGATCATTAGCACACTGATGGCTGTTTACTACTCGCAGAGGGCTGAGTGATACTAGCAATCACAGCATTGTAAGAGGGGGACAGTTGAACCTGGAGGCTCCACCCCTGTTTAATGATGGATGGTTTCTTTTCACAAAGATGGCCTCCTTTACTCCTCTCTCAAACCATCGTTCCTCTCTGTCCAGGATGTGAACATCTTCATCCCTGAAAGAGTGACCGCTGGCCTGGAGATGAGTGTAGACCTCAGAGTCCTGGCCTGATGATGTTGATCTTCTGTGCTGGGCCATCCTTTTGGCCAGTGGCTGTTTAGTTTCCCCGATGTAAGACTGATCACCCTCCTGACACTGAACAACATACACAACATTACTCTGTTTGTGCCGGGGGACTGGATCTTTGGGATGAACCAGTCTTTAATGTATTTTGGGGTTTAAAAGCCACTGGGACGTTATGTTTAGAAAACAAACATCTCAGTTTCTCTGATACTCCCTCAACATATGGAATGACCACTGGTCTGGGTCTGGGTTCCTCCTTTTCACCTGTTGGCTGACTGGAGTCCTGTTTGGGTTTCTTCTCTGCTTTCAGGAAGGCCCAGTTAGGATATCCACATTGCTCTAGAGCCTGTCTTGTGTGGGATTTCTCCTTCTGCCTGGCTCCTGAGCTAGTGGGGATGCTGTCTGCTCTGTGGTACAGAGTCCTGATGACTCCTAACTTGTGCTCCAAAGGGTGATGGGAGTCAAATGCATCTTGAACTGGCTGTAACTACAGTACCCACCACTGCACCCAGTATTCACTGGTTAACTGGTCACCATTAACTTCACACAGACTCTCCCACTGGTACATTTTCATCTTTAAATCACTTTTTGGTCTGTTGCCTTCATACATCTCCTCCTACATGTCTCTGTGTGAGTGCAGCTACAGCGTGCGCTCTCAGGACATCATTACCTGCAGTGTTCCCTCAGTGAGGACTGAACTAGACAAAAGGACCTTCTCCTACTCCGCTCCTGTTTCCTGGAATATCTTGTAAAAACACCTGAAGCTCTCGACCTTTGACCTCTCTAAGTCTCTAAGCTTCAAAAATCTGATAAGTTCCCGCAAGAACCAGCACAGACATGTTCCTGTTTTTAGTTTTCTACACCGCCTAACATTCTAGCTGTTTTTGTTGTTTTTTTAAACCATTTTCTTTCATTTTATTCTTCTCAGTTGATAAGCTTTTTTATAAAACGATTGTCTCCTGTTGTCATCACTCTTTGTTAAAATCAGGTCTCTCTTGTAAAAGAGTCCTCGAGGCTCAATGAGACTAATCTGTAGAAATAAAGGTTGAATGAAAAAAAAAGATGCTTGGAGTTTATGGGTCGACGTCCCCTCTGGAGAGCTGTGAGGATTACTGGACCCAGCGTGATGTGGAGATGAGAATGATAAGTAAAACAGTTGGCTCAAAGAGGAAACAGAGTCTGACAAACCTACGGTGAGATGAGCGAGTGCAAAGGCCAAGCTGAGCGGGGACAGGATGACGTTGGGCTGCTGTGGGCTGACAGGAAGTTTGTCCAGCAGCTTTAAACCCAGTCGCTCTACAGCGCCCCCGATCGCCTTGTAGTCCTCATGGCTGAATGTTCCTCCACAGTCATGAACCTTCTTCTTTTCCTCTTCAGCGGTGGAGCTGGAAACTTCTGGAGCTGCCGTACTGAGCTCGTCCTGACGAAACACAGGCAAAGTTTGCTTTGTGACGGTTTCATAAAATGAAACAAATGACAGTTAAAGCTTCAGCTCGGCTCAGCTCACCAAAAAGAGACGGCTCTTTAGGAGCCGTAATGTTCACCCCTAGTTAAAACAACCAATCAACTGCCAGCTTTTAGTTCATGGAAACCGTAAAATTGTTCTTACAGTCAGAACCGGTTGGCAGAGACAAAGCAGGAGAAGAAGAAGACACGACTTCATGTCCAAAGCAGCAGCCTGAAAACAGAAACACCGACTATGATTGATCAGATTCATCACAGCAGCAGCCTCTCCGGTTCTTAGGATTACAAACCTTTACCGGTAAATCTACTCCATACAGTTACTCACAACTTTTAATTCCAGTCTGTAAAGGGTTTCTCAAACTTAAACCAATTAGAAATGTGTTCTCCTTGGTGACTGATGAATACTCCATGAAGGCAACGGTGCCAACGAGGCACAAATATCAGAAAAATTAGATTGTTTTCTGTATCCTTACAACATGCAGCTTCAGATATTTTTAACAAAACGTCTCTTTGAAGATATTCCCTGGACCTAAGGATGTCTTTATTTGTGTCTCCATCAACAAGCTTCTTGTCAAATCCTGCCTGATATTTGACTGCTCTTCTTCTTCTTCTTCTTCATATTATCACTATTATTATTATTATTATTATTATTATTATTTATTATTATTATTACTATTATTATTATTATTATTATTATTATTATTATTATTATTATTATTATTATTATTAT